AGACGTTGGTAGAATTAGGCTCGTTTAGAATAGATTTGTTCGGAAGCGTATAATCTATGTGTTGTTGGAATTGATAGTTGATCGTTAACGTTCACTCTCTTGTTACGAAGAGTTATTGAGAGTGAATCTCTGAACGAGAGACGATTCAAGACCTTTAACCGAGCAATCGATTGCCGGTGATTGCATTAGAACCGAAAGCAATTATCCCCGATTCCCTAGCACTTAAATCATTCAGTAAAGTCATTTGCTATTTGCTTTCATTTTATTCAGGTTAAATCAGTAGTTGATAGTCAAAACCCAGAAATATTGAATTAAAGTGTTTAGGAATTCTTTTTCTCTTTTCGTGATTGAATATATGCACAAGAGTATCCGGCTAACCTTCCTTGCGATACGACCCGGGGACGAATCTTTCGATTCTACTCCGGTAAAAATACTGACAACATGCGAGCCTTATGAATTTATGTGTTCAATTTGATTCAATATATATTTGCAATTGGATATCAAAGTGATTGCCGTCACTTTGAATTATTGTCGAATTGCATTCAAAGTAATTCAATATATATTTGCAATTGGTTTTGGTTTGAGGTCGTTTCGAGATTATAATAGAATTTTGTACAGGAATGATTGATATATTATAAATTAAATAAAACATTACAAATTAGAAACACAACTATAATATTTGAATCAAATAGCTAAGATCTAAAAACTAATAAATGTAGAAGAATTGCACACGAGCCAAAAAATCAGGATAAATCCAAATAAACAACACAAACAAAAAACTAATTAACACAAAACCTAATCACCCTTATAATTCCAAATCGGTAGCTTTAAAAATTCCAAAACGAAGTGACAGATTTTCAACTCTACTACAAATTGTTTCCTTTGCCCAAGTCCATTCGTAATTATTATTGTTTTAGCCTCATTTGGTTGAACAGATTAAAATAACTAAAAAAAATATACCCACGCAAATTATTACAAATCTCGGTCATTTTTGTAGAAAATGGCATCGTCATCCTCGAACCCTCAACCCTACACCCCACACCCCGGCCCCAGTGACCCGTCACTTCTATATCTTCAGAACCGCCACCGGTCCAAGGCGGTATATGAGGACGCACCGGGGTTTCGCCACGGCGCGGTTAAGCCACGCCGTGCGGACACCCAGTTCTGGACTGCCTTGGAGGGCAACAAGCAGAATGCCCGGATCTGGGAGGTGATCAACAAGGCCGGATTCGGGCCTTTATTTCGGATGGGGCAGGTCCCGACAAACAATCCCCTCATTACATGCCTGTTGGAGAGGTGGCGTCCGGAGACGCACACCTTCCACTTCGTCTTCGAGGAGGCCACGATCACTCTCCAGGACGTTGAGATACTATTTGGCCTCCCCGTCAGCGGGGAACCATGTTAGGGACATACCGTACAGCGGACTCCCCAAGAGTGGAGAGTTTATTGCGTGGACGCTCTAGGATACCTCCCATATGTACAGGTATATTTTAACCTAAAACTTTTATTTGTTTATTTTTATTTTTTTTTATTATTGTGTTTATGTATATTTAAGTCATGGGTTGTTTTTAATATATATATAAACGTATTTCAAGGATCACGGGGACCAGGACTACGACCCCAAGACTTGGGACATAAATGGCCAGTACCTGTATTTCAGTAGTCTGGAAGAGGAGTGCAAGCGATCTCTGGAGGATGGACTCCCTACATTAGGGTACGAGAAGAGGGCGAGAGCCCTGATACTCTGGTGTATTGGGTCCTTCTTCTTTCCCGACCATCGGGCCAACAGAGTCAACCTCTACTGGTTGTCCCTGTTGAATGTCATCGATGCCATTCCGGGGTACAGCTGGGGTGGAGCGCTTCTGGCCGGGGTATATAGAGCGCTCTGCGACGCCTACGACAGGGAGGAAAAATATATCAAGAGTTGCGTGCAGTTGATTCAGGTAAATTTATTTACTTGTTAATTGCAAATTAATTTTATTTATTATAAATTACAATAATATGTGCTAAAAAATGTATATGTCCATATGTGCAGGTTTGGGCATGGGAACGCATCCCTCGTGTTCGCCCATTAATGAGAAAAACACATTTCGGCTCTCAGGCTGGTTGTCCCTTGGGTGCAAGGTAATAATAACCTTTATTTATTTTCAACACTTAAGTTATTTCAATTATCAAAATTTGTAATTACAAATAGTTTTTTTCTGTGATTTTTAAGGTGGGTGGGATCGAGGGACATGAGGCACCTGGGACGGGCACGACTACCATCCGAGATCAGCTGAGTGGCCTGAGAGAGACTGATGTAAGTTTCTTAGGTCATAATAATAAATAATTATTATTTTTTTAATTCTATTTTTTTATTAAATTCATTAATAATTCTATAAATGTTTTTTTTTACAGTTCGATTGGGTACCCTATCAGACGTACATAGACGAGGGTCGGCTCCCAGACGAGTGTACACGAGACCGACATCTCTGGATGTACAAGGGGTGGATCTTCTGCTGGAACATCGCAGAACTCCACCAGCCTGATAGGGTGCTCCGCCAGTTTCGGTGCCACCAGCCCATCCCCCAAACGCCGATCATTACTAGTTTGGCCGACTGGGACACCCGCCACAAAGGTCAGGGCATGACTGGGAGGGCATACACCGATTGGCGGGCCCCTGATCTTGGGAGGATCTGGACCGAAGAGAGAGGTCAGACCGTCCTCCCAGATGTCCCGGTGGATCCCTTCCTGCAGCCAGCAGAGGGGTACATTGATTGGTATCACAGTAGGACTGTGAGACTATTCAATGACCCCAACAACTATGCGGCGATCTCACAGGACGGCGGGTTTCAACCATATGCCGACCGGAAGAAATTTCAGGTAAGTGTCTGCTAATTTGTGATTTTTATTATTATCATTATTATTATTATTATTGAAGTAATTATTATTATTTTTTTTTTTAGTATTTGATAGTTATTTGAATTTTATTTTGCAGAATTCGGGTACGGAGGGGGCGTATAACATGCTATCGAACATTGAAGACATTGATACGCTACCTCCCCGAGCGCAGTCACAGTTCCAGCAAGCCCAGGAACTTTTGTACGCTTCTCTGAATGTTGGGGGTCAGTCGGTCACACAAGGGGCGTCGTCGGAGCAAATTCTATCTCAAGAGGAGTACGCCTCACCCCAGCATACACAGTCTCAGCGGGCGAGGCATAGACCGACGCCCCACATTGGTGGAGGAGAAGACGCCGTGACCGCGAACCCGCCGGGAATGAAGAAGACGAAGAAGGTGAGATTTTTTTATTTAACTACAAATATATATATTTTTTTGTTTGTTTTTACTTATTTGTCCGGTCAAATTATTGATTTTTTACAAAATTAATTAATTAGGTGGATAAGAAGAAGAAGAACCAGCCACGCCTGGACCGACCGCAGGATCGTTTTCTTTGGTACCGGGGCCTCGAAGAGGGTCCCGAAAACGCGTGCCTAAGAAAACATGTACTCCTAGTTAGTTTGTTTTGGTATTCTGTGATTTTGTGGACATTTTCCTTTTTTTTCTTTTTTTTTTTGTACTGGATTTTCAGATATTTATTCTTGATGATTTTGAGTACATATTTTGTGGTTCACTTTTTTTTTGTCGGTAATTATGGTTGTCTTTTTGTATATAATGTTTCATGTATGTATGCATGCTAGATTTTATCATTTGACGAATGAATTGATACTAAAGTGATATTATTTCGTGTTCAAAATGTTAAATCAAAATTTATATAAAATCTTCATATTGAAGGATAAGAATAAAAATTCAGCTAAAATAAACGCGATCGCTGGTAAACGAGTTCGTGAGCATCTAAGAGTCGAGTCTAACTTAAAAAAAATTAAAAATAAAAAAATAAATGCATAAAAACGGATTCTAATAAATAAATAAATAAATAAACACGGATTATGAAAATCTGTGTTCATGGGTAAAACGGATTATCACAATCCGTTTTCAAAACACGGATTTTAATAACACGTTTTTAACTGAATTAATTAAGGGTAATCACGTCATTAAGAAAATACAGATTCTCAAAATCCGTTTTTCGATCGGAATTAACGAAAAACGGATTCTGAGAATCCGTTTTTTCTTGAAACACGGATTCTCAGAATCTGGCCGTTTTATTTTTTTCCACAACTTTTTTTATTTTTTTATTTTTTGCCACATATTTTTTTTTTAAAATAAATAAATGATTCCAAATATGGTGATAATAATACGGACAATTTTGCCTAAAAAATATTCTCAACAATAATTTTCACCGATCTAATTCATCGTCAATTATTTAATTATCAAAACCTTTCTATAGATTCAACTAACATATAAAATATTTACATCAATCATCAGCTATTAGACAACATCCACTAAATGGCAATTAAAGTTGTCAATCTTTATGTTGGTGCTATAAAGTCAAAAGTATTTGATTTTTACTAATCTGGTACGCACGACGCTGAATTATTTAGATATCAATTGACACACTGAAATGAAAAGACGAAAACGACATTTTCTCTGCGGTTGAGGCGTCACATGTGCTCGAATTTCCGATAGTGTATTGTATTTACTATTCAGATAAACTTTTCACCAAATATATACAAGATTCAGATAAAAACAAACACAAAATGCCCTGGAAAGTGTTGTGACCTGAAATCATATGAGAAGCAGACAAAGTCGCCCGTGAGAACATCATTCTTTCCTGTCCAAGGAATAGTATACATTTTTACTAATCTAAAAGAATCTTCTTTTACCTTCTCTGGTCTAACAAGAAACTGTCAAAAAGGGGTTAGGTTTAGTTGGGCGGTTCATCAAACACGGCACAAAATTCAACTCCAAACAACCTAATCGTCTTCGCCCCTTTAATTAAGCCCACCAGTATATATAAATCTTTAATCCATACCTTAAAGCCCTCTCAATTAGCACTCATCATTCCATGATGGCTCACCTAATAATCTAATCCCCAATCAATCTCAAGTTACGCCCAAAAATCATGCACATCAAGAACTTCTGTTTCATTTTACCTTCAGAGGTGGATGAACCGCACCAGAAATTCTATTCAGCCAAACAGTCCCTTCCTCGAGAAGGCTGCGGTGCTCCGGCTCTTGATCTCTTTAAACGGCAGATAAACCGTTTTTTTCGCTCAGGATGGTTTCCTTGGTGCCACCATCGGCCGCCGCTTCACAAAGCATACTTTGACGCGCAAGGAGTCCCGATGGAGGAGGAGGAGCAGGGCGCCCCAAACCCAAACCCAAGGATATTCAGTTACGCCGAACTCTACATCGGCTCCAGTGGTTTCCACGAGCGCGAAATTTTAGGCAGCGGGGGCTTCGGACGAGTCTACCGTGCGGTGCTGCCGAGCGACGGCACAGCCGTGGCCGTCAAGTGCCTCGGGGAGGACAACAGGGGTGGCCTCGAGAAGACCTTCTTGGCCGAGCTGGCGGCGGTGGCCCATCTCCGCCACCGTAACCTCGTCCCCCTCAGGGGCTGGTGCATCCACGACGGCAGCCTCCTCCTCGTGTACGATTACATGCCCAACCGAAGCCTCGACCGAGTCTTGTTCGGGAAAACGGCCAATTCCCTTTCTTGGGAAAAGAGAAAGAGGATTGTCGCCGGCTTGGCGGCGGCCCTGCACTACCTGCACCACCAGCTCGACACGCAGATAATACACCGTGACGTGAAGTCTAGCAATGTCATGCTCGATTCCGATTTCAACGCACGGCTGGGGGACTTCGGGCTGGCCCGGTGGCTGGAGCACGGCCTCGCCTACGAGGCCAACGCCTCCAATAGAATGTTTCGGGTGGCAGAGAGCTCGAGAATCGGGGGGACGATTGGGTACCTGCCTCCGGAGAGCTTCCGGAAGAGAAGCAAGGCAACCGAAAAATCGGACGTCTTTGGGTTCGGGATAGTCGTACTGGAAATTGTGTCAGGCAGACGAGCCGTGGACTTGACCCGCCCTGACGACCGCATAGTCCTCCTCGATTGGATCAGACGGCTTTCAGACGAGGGAAGGGTTATAGAAGCAGGGGATGCTCAGATTCGGGATGGGTCAGACGTGGAGCGGTTCTTACGTCTCGGGCTTCTCTGCACTCTTCACGACCCTCAGTCCCGGCCAAGTATCAAGTGGGTCGTTGAATTTCTCTCCGGGAACGTAGACTTTGAGAAACACCTCCATCTCCCGTCTTTCCTTACCCAACCACTTTACATCTCTATATCTTCCTCCCCTATCACGAGTACTTTCAACACGCAGACCACAAATTCTTCCCAAACGGCAAGCGTCCGTACAAGAAGCCTACGCCACTCGTCGACAAACTCCGAAACCATCTACTTCACCGCCGAGTCCGAGATGAGAAACGAAAACACATCATTTCCCGTGATCGAGACCCCGAGACCCATAACCTACGACGAGATCGCGTCCGCCACAGACGACTTCTCAGACGCCCACCGGTTGGCGGAGATCGACTTCGGAACGGCCTACCGCGGCCTCCTCGAAGGCAGCCGCCACATCATCGTGAAGAGGCTCAGGATGAAGACGTGTCCCGCCCTGCGCATGCGGTTCGCGGACGAGCTCCGGAACGTGGGGAGGCTCCGCCACAGGAACCTCGCGCAGCTCCGCGGGTGGTGCACCGAGCGCGGGGAGATGCTCGTGGTGTACGACTACTCGCCGAGCCGCGTCCTCAGGAACACGCTCCCCCGTTTGAGCTGGCGCCAGAGGTACGACATCGTCAAGTCCCTCGCATCCGCAATCCGCTACCTCCACGAAGAGTGGGACGAACAGGTGATCCACCGGAACATAACCTCCTCCGCAGTGATGCTCGACCGGGAAGCAAACCCGAGGCTCGGCTCGTTCGCGCTTGCCGAGTTCCTGACGAGGAACGAGCACGGAGGGCCACATGAAATCATCACGGCGGATGAGAAGAAAAAGTCGGTTCGGGGGATTTTTGGGTATATGTCGCCGGAGTACATGGAGTCCGGGGAGGCGACAGCGGCGGCTGACGTGTACAGCTTCGGGGTGGTGGTGCTTGAGGTGGTGACGGGGCGGGCAGCGGTGGACTTTCGGGAACGGGAGGTGATGTTGGTGGGGAGGGTGCGGAGGAATGAGGAGTTGGTGGATTGGAGATTGGGTGGGGAGTATGACGGGAGGGAAATGGAGAGGCTGGTGAGGTTGGGTTTGGCGTGCACGAGGTCCGAGCCGGAGTTGAGGCCGAGCATGAGGCAGATAGTGAGTATAATGGAGGGTTACGATCAGTGGCTTTCAGAGACAAGAGGGTTGAAGCAAGAGGGGATACAGGAATGGAAACAGAGGAATGCATCTTCTCTCTCTCTTGTCAGGAGGATTCAAGCTCTTACCATACACTGATGTTATTTGGGGATTGAATGTTTGTGAATCGGATTGTTTAAAGCCACTTAATTTATGTGTGTGTGTTTGTGTGTGGTTTGTACATTTAAACTGCGGATTGGGTAATATTGGAGATATGGTACAAACTAAATATAGAATGTGTTTGTGTGTGTGTTTTTTGTACATTTGAACTGCAGATTGTGTAATTTTCGAGATATGGTGCAAACTAAATATTTGGTGTGTATGTAACAATGCATTTATATCTACACCTGAACAGCCCGAAAAAGTGAAAAGATATAGCATCATTTAGATTGTTTGATGAAGGAAGCTATAAAAGTGAAATTTTATGAATTTGAAAGGAAACC